TATAGAGAGAAAAAGATCAGCCCCTTACAAGCACCACCACCTCCCTGCTGGCCAGGCTGTGAGGGGTTGTTTCTTTACATCGAAGAACTTAAACTAAAAGAACTGAGAAAGAGGTGAGACCTGATCACAAAGAACACCAACCAACTAAACCAAGGTAATCTATCCTAGCCCAACACCATGACCCAGACCTAGCGTGCGCAGGCCATGCGCTCCCGCTAAGCACCAAAGGTGATATTCGTCTCTGAACTCTTCAATCAGCCTGGTGATGCAGGGGCTCACCCCTCAATAATGCAAGCATTTCGGTGCTTCTAAAGGATCCAAGAACCTAGAATGATCATTGTGTTCAGCCCCTTCTTCTCCTTTGGAATTCTCTTGGTTGCTTTTCGCCACCAATCAGGAATGATTTCTCTCGCCCTGTGGGAGTCCGATCTTGCAGTCCCAAATGGGTCAAGGATCCGTGACCAAAATTCTCGAGCGAGGACACATGTAGTAAGCAGATGTTGTCTCATCTTCCTGATCACACAAGGGGCAGTGGGTTGGGTGAGGTAATCCTCTCTTGGCCAATTGGTCTGCCGTCCACATACTCTAATTGTCCAAAACAAATTTAGATAGGTTCAGAGTTGGGGACTAACTCTTACAAAAAAAAAAGAGTTCGAAATGAATAATAGTACTTGAATTTACGCTGGGAGGGGGGGGATAAAAGAGTGAAGGCTGAAGATAAACAGATAACAGAGGTACATCTATCCCTTTCCTATACTACTAATTATATCATGTTGGGTTCGTATGGAAGCTCCTAATGTCAGTTTAGTGAACTATTGGAGAAATTGGCAGTCGGTCATGCCATTCGGCTTGCTGAATTGTGGCTGAAACTGGTTGAAAACACTGTTCTGGCTGAATTCTTGTGAGAGAAAAACACTGTTCTGGCTGAAAAAACAAGCTGAATAGTGCCGTTTTCTGAGTAAGCCGAACGGGGCCAGAGAAACTTTGATTTAATTTGATTAGTGCAGAAAGGCAACAAACAAGTGTCCTTAATTACATCATTTCATACAAAATTTATGAGGATATTAAGGGTGCGTTTAATAGGGATTTAGATTCTCATAGAAATTTTGGATCTAGATTTTGTAAAAAAAAAGTGATGAATTAGAATCAACTTATGAAATCATTTGACTAGTAGACTGAATTTTGATTCATAAGGATTTTTTTAAAAAAAAACATATGAATAAAAATATATTTTTAAAAATCTAAACTTTTTGTAGGCGAAGAGCAACTTAAATACAACTCTTGTTGCACCAACAAAGGATTAATAAAACGAAAAAAATACAATTGGTAGCACATAAGGGAGCAAAAGAAATGGAAAAGAATAACTTTGAAACCACACTTGTAATCTTGGTGTTAGAGCACTTAAGGTCTTTGTGACCTTTCTTGCGACGTTGTCCCTCCGAACTTGGTGTGGAGTAGCGATGACTTGGTGTGAAGGGCTTGAGAGGACCCTACCATCATGGAGAAGTTTCGTAGTGGCCATTGCCAAGGTGACAATAAAAGGCAGGCACAATGGTGAGACTTAGTGGCTTAGAGCATTTGCTTTGGTTGCGCAAACCTTTGTGGCAATCTCAACACTATGACTGGAGAAACCTATGTAACTGGGAGCATACTTCAGTGCACGTGGACTAAGGGGTTGTGTTTTGTCCATGATACCATATAGGATACCATCGGAATTGTTCTCTCTTGACTTGCTCTTTTACTTACCACATTTAAGCTTATGCATTGTGCTTGTTTTGTGTGGCATTTGCCTTTACTAGATTAGCATAGGCTAGTTGCTAGAATTGGCTCTAGGTTGCAAAAATCTTTATGGATTGAGTAGGTTAGAGTACAGTAGAAAGCCATAAGTGTATATTTTCTAGTTAGTTTATGACTTCTCTAGTTTAGATCAAATTAAGCCTTAGGTGTAGATTTTTTATGACCCAATTCACCCCCTCTTGGGCTCAAGTGTTCCTATAGGAGCTGGAGGGGGGGATCTAAGGGCCTCCTTGCTCTAGGGGCTTGAATGGAGCCTATTGGAGTTGTGTTTTCTGCTTGAGTCCACAAATTTGAGTTTAGGAGCCTGAGTACGAGCCTTGTTGTAGTTGCTCTAAAGTGGGTGCAAATCTTTCCCTAAAATTTTTACTTGTTAAGCGTGCCTACCAGGGAGCATCAAGTTTACATATTATCCCACATGTATTTGGCCCTTATACAATATAATTGTTCATGGGCCTCGACAAATTTATACCGAAGCAAAAGTTTGATTAGCTCTGAAAAATGTAGTGGACCCTAAAACATGAGTTAAGGGTAAAACCATACTGCAAATGGTTGGGAATTTGAAGTTTCCCTTTGTAAAAAAAAATGAGAAATGAGATTCCACAACGCACTCCTTTATCAATACATGCTCGGCGAAGCTCTTGCCAGTAGCTCTTTGAAAAAAAGAAGAAGAGAGATTCCACAACACAACCAAACCTTGAGGTTGGTGAATTCATGGAAAACGAGAACATTGCAGCAGTGGCAAAGCGAGATTGCAGAAGCTCTGACACCGTGGATTCGGGCAATCAGCTCTGGTGGTTGATGAGCAGTGGCAAAGCGACAGACAGCGATAGTTAATTCTGGTCTTGCAGAAGGTGCAATAGAATCCGAGTTGTGCCTGTGCATACGACGAATGAGTAATGAGGTGCTAGTAGCCAGTCCAGATATCACTATCATGCAGCAGACACACAAAGACCAGGCACAGCCAAGTATATAATAATCTGGACCAAGAAAAATACAGGTGAACATCAAAACCTCATGGATAAAAGGGCATTATGATGCTTTAAGACATTATTACAGGGCAGATTAGCCCGGACTTCTCAAGTTTTACAGGGCAGGTTATGAAGCTTCCAAGAAGAAAGATGACGCTTTCCTCGAGAAGAACATCAAACCCCTGCAGCGTCAGATGAAGGTTACATTAGAGATAGTATTTCAATCTGTAGCGCAACCCATTACTTAGACAAAGGAAAAAAAGAGGATGAAAACAAGATTGTCATATCCAACTTGCCCTTCCTTCAGCAAGCCAAGGGTTCCTCCTCCCGCTGGAACCATTGATGAAATGGGTCATCTCTTAAGAATCATGGATGTGCTCTGGCAAGTCACAGATATACTCTCCAGTCACCACAGTAAACATCACCATGATAACTATTGTCATGTGCAGCATGTGAGAAGTGAAAATTGACCTGTTGAGACGCCCTGTTCTTGAAATGCTGTTGCCTTTCTTGATCTGCAATCCATTCTTCACTCCAGAGTTTTGTTATGGCAATCTCTACAAGATCTGATCGTCACTAAGTCCAGTACACATGCATTCGTAAAAAAAGGTCTTGACAAACTTGACACCGCATTTTTTACCTTGATACTCCATCCATTCCAAAGTATAAGTTGTTCTGTCTTTTCCAGGTATGTAGTTTTTTTGCTATGCTCCTAGATATATGTGATGCTTACTACATAGCTAGAACTATATATCTAAAAAAGCAAGAACGACTTATGATTTGAAATGGAGGGAGTAACACTTTACTACAACTTTTTTGAGATGCAGCTCAAGGCATTCAATACACTTTAGTTTATCATAGTCTTCTGCACTTCCGAATTGTCTCAACACCTGAAAACAAATGAAAGCATAATTAGTTTTTGAAGAAAGTGAGAAATAAGCATTGATATACAACAACAACAACAACAACAAACTACCAAAGTAGAATGTAATAAACAGTGAAAGAGAGTAACTCACAGAGACATAGAGCTTCTTCAGCCATGGAAAACGTGTCAAGACTTTGTTGAGGACACAAATGTGATCAACATTTTCCAAAGACAAAATCTTCACGGTTCTCAGTGTTGTTACAAGACTGCATGCATATGAATCACTGAACACGTCTCTCAGAAGAGAGCTTCACATTTCACATGGTTGACATGCGGACCTGGTAGGCTTAATGACCATGGCGTCAATTTCAATCTTTGAAATGGTCTACAAAGGCTTCCCAATGCCCTGAGTTTTGGAGCTATAATCACCTTAGGTTGGTAGATCTATAGCTGTCCTTGGAAGTTACACAATTTGTTAGGAGTCCTCCAATATATATCAGTTTAAAGTTCAAATGAATGATGTGATCAAGTATCTTCAATTTGTATTGGAAGTTTCAAAATCCAGAGTGGGAGTTAGTTGATTTATTAAAAAATCACTTGTTTCAATGCAAAAGATGAAGTTATTTATTCAAAATTTCATAAGCCAGATTTGAAAGTTTAATTAATCTATTCTGAAGTCTAGATACATAAGGTATGTATCCAAAAAGGCCAAAATGTCTTATGTCTAGACATTTTGGCATACCTTATGTCTAGATACATAGTGAAAGTAATATGCCAAAATGTCTTATAATTTAGAATGGTCAAATAGGAATGTTTGTTTTTGAGCTCTACAGTTTGGAATAGTATTATGAGATAAATAGGGATGCTCAGGAAACTTCACCTGTGCAAAAGTTTACTGGTCTTGAGAAGGGCAGAGAGGTTCATATAACCGGAGCTTGCTTTTAGAGAAATAACTTGCTCTGTTACCTATCATCTCTTCACACCCTTTATCACCTGTGGATTTAAATCGGAGCAGCCCTTTGAGAGCAGATGGAAGTCTGAACTATAGAATTATTTTAGAGCAGGGGAATCACTAACATGCATGCATGCGTATAAAGCTTGTGGAAAGACAGCTGTTTAATCAGGGATATTCATTGCTGAAAATTCCATACAGATGAAAGGGAACAATATGATGCTTTAATACATTCACATGGACAGACTGGCTCTCTCAAGATTCGTACTGAAGCATCAAAACAGAAAATGTGATGTTATCAACTGAAGACACACATAAAGAACTAAATAAAGGTTGAACACGAGGTTGTTATTCAGCATTGATCAAATGAACCAAGCCTCTTTAGCTGGAGTTCCGAAATATTTCATCTTCTTTTCCTTCAGCATGCCAGGGCTTCCTTCTCTGATTCAAACCATTGATCAAATGGGTCATCTCTTGCGGAATCATGGATGTGCTCTGACAGGTCACTGATATCCTCGCTACAGTAAACATCTTGATAATATCTTGCATCACGTACAAAATGAAACTTAACATGTCGGGAAGCCATGCTCCTGACTTGTAGTTGCCTTTGCTGATCCTCAATCCATTCCTTGGTCGTCCCAGGTTCACAGTGGTAGTTTTTAAAGATTCTGAACTTCATTAACTCTAGCAACCGGGCATTTCGAACAAAGAATTGGGCAAACTTGACATGTGGTCGTATGCCTTCATATCCATCTAATGCTACCATTTTAAGATGATGCTCAAGGCACTCGATGGGATTTTGTTTGTCATAGCTTGCAGCACTTCTGTATCCTTGTGATGCCTGAATAACGATAACATAACGAACGAAAGAATGTTTATTTTCGATAGCCAAGAGTTATAAACATTGATGCAACATAAATTGGTAATACAACAAGCCCTTTTAGTTAGCGAAGAGTGATTAAGCCAAACGCAACAGAAACTACAAAGCTTTAGCAGCAAGCAGAACATGTACATAAGACTATGATAAAACAAAAATTGAAGTTGAGAAGAGCTCACCGAGATGTATAGCTTCTCCAAGCATGGAAAACACTTCAAGTAGTTGCTGACGACATCGATGGAATCTGCATCTTCCAGAGCCAAGATCTTGACGGTTCGCAGTGTTGTTGCCAGCATGACGGCCTTCATCAGCAAACACTTCTCCATGATGTTACGGCGCCTACTATTCAGCATCCGGCAACAGAAGACGAGAGAGCGACTCTTGGGCCTGGGCCGCAGCCAGCCAGGAGGTCCACCAGGCTGAGGACACGGAGCACGCGCGTGACGGGCGAAGACTGGATCGCGGCTTGAGTCACCTGCTCGGCGTAGTCTACTTATTGTATTAGGCGTGAGGGAGAGATTCATTCATGAGCATTGTAACAACTATCTTGCCCCTCCTGCAAGCCTTCCTCTGAACCCAACCTTGTGCTTTGCTCTCCTTCCTCCACTCCGATCTACTGCTACTCACCTGAATTCTATGCAAACCTATCGTTGATCGTAACAAATTGGTACTCGGAGCCTTGATTCCGTGGCCGATTTTTGTTCCTTCACCTTGATTTGGGATCATAACCCCCGACGACAGGTTGATCACCACTTTGCGCTTCGGCGTTGAGCGTGTGAACCCATAGGTCCGTGCCGAGGCTGATCTAATCGGTGTCGGGCAAGATCGTCGGAATCCGCTGCCACCCTGGATCCCCACCAAATTGATCACGAGCACTTCAGCCGCTTCCGCAAGCAGCTCGGCGCCATGGATCCCAACACCAAGCTTATCCTCGACGAGCTCAAGTTCGTGCAGACGAACCTCACCAACCGCATCGTCGTGGTGGAGACCTCCATCGGCGCGCGCGTAGGCTCCCTGGAGGATGCCGCCAAGGTGTTCGACACCTGGAAGCCCAAGATGGATGCGGCCATCGAGGAGCTGCGCGCCAAGATGGGCGCGTTCCAGAAGACGGACGAGAAGGTCGACACGCTGCGCGAGGAGATGACTGCACTGCGCAAGTCCGTGAGTCGATCCATTCTCGATGCCGCACCGGCCATGCCGACCAGCGTTCTTCCGCCGCCCAAGGTGTCCGCGGCGTTGGTTACTGCCGGCTGGACCAAATTTTGCCCGTTAGGGCCCCATGAGGAATCAAGCCACAGGGGATTTGAGTTCTCAACTTGATCCCCGGTCAAGGGTACGTTCATCCCGCCCGATCCTGATCCCAAGCCTAAATTGCATAGATCCTACTCGAGTTCTGCTCTGGTGGCGGGCAATCATGGGGGTTCGGGTGGGGTTGAGGGGCCACATGATCGCCGCTGTTATGAGGATGGGGATGGGGGAAATCATCATCTGCCTTAAAACCCAAAGCTGTGGCTCGGGCGCTGTTTAGATTACTTTGAGATGTACTTTGTGCCACGCCGCCGCTGGATCAAGGTGTCCACCATGCATCTTTCTGGGGCCGCCGCTTGCTGGTTGCAGTCAGTAGAGGACGAGGTCCGCGCGGGTAGTTGGGAACAGTTTAGCCAGCTTGTCATGAACCGCTTTGGCAAGGATCAGCATGAGCTTCTTATTCGCCATTTGTTTCACATCCACCAAACAGGCTCTGTCCAGGAGTATATTGACAAATTCACTGGGTTAGTAGATCACCTAGTGGCTTATGGGCGTAACACTGATCCAATTTACTATGCTATGCGTTTTGTCGATGGCCTGCGTGCTGACATTCGTGCTGCTGTGCATATGCAGCGCCCAACAACTCTGGATACTGCCTGTGTCCTTGCTCTGTTGCAGGAGGAACTGGTGGATCCGACTCGCAAGAAGGATCTCCAACGACCTGAACCGTTCACCTTCGCCAAGGTTCCGGTGCGAGGACCGGGGCCGCTTCCGAATGCCCCGCCAAGGCAGGAACGCCAGGACAGGCCGGTGCCTCCGAACCTGGGTCCTGAACATCGTGCTCGCGGCGTGGATGACAAGCTCTCAACGCTGCGAGACTACTGGCGCACTTGTGGTCTCTGCTTCTGGTGTGGTGAAAAATGGTCGCGTGACCACCGCTGTCCTGGGATGTTTGTTTTGCTAAAGAGTGCCAGGAAGACTGTACTGATGACTGTCATGAAGCAGACACCGAAGATGCTCTGTTATGCTTGGCTATCTCTATGGCAGCATCTGGCACGCCGTTGTCAGTTAATTCCATTCAGTTCATGGGCCAAATTTAGGGGCATCCAGTTCGAATTTTGATTGACTTAGGCAGTAGTCACACTTTTGTCAGTACATCACTGGCCGATAAGTTGGAGGGTATGTCTACTTTCTCTCCACCTCTCAAGGTGACAGTAGCTGATGGCTCCCAATTACTTTGCTCTTCAAAGTTTCAGCATCTCAAGTGGACAGTTCATGAATGTGAGTTTGTTTCAGTGGCTAAGGTGTTACCGCTGTCATCCTATGAGTTGATTGTGGGTATGGATTGGCTTGCTGCTTACAGCCCTATGCAGATAGATTGGCAGCATAAGTGGCTGCTTATATCACAAGGTCCGGATCAGCATTTGTTGCAAGGATCCTTGTCAACCCTGCCGACAGGCTCTGTTGTGCAAATATCAGCTATTTTGCCAGATGACACTGTTCACCGTCAGGATCCATTGCCGTCTGAAGTTTCTGCTTTGTTAACTGAATTCCAGTCGGTATTTGCTCCAGCCAGAGATTGTGATCATACAATTCCTCTTCTACCTGGAGGCGGTCCATTCTCAATTACAATTCCTCTTCTACCTAGAGCTGGTCCATTCTCAGTTCGGCCATATCGTTATCCCCCGGCGATCAAAGATGAAATAGAGCGGCAAATTGCAGAAATGTTACAATCAGGTATCATTCAGCATAGTTCCAGTCCATTCTCTTCATCAGTTCTGCTTGTCAAGAAGGACGGCACTTTTCGTTTCTGTGTGGATTTTAGGCATCTTAATGCTATCATTGCCAAGGTCAAATACCTAGTCCCTGTTATTGAAGAACTGTTGGATGAGCTTACTAATGCCTCTTGGTTCTCTTGTCTTGATCTTACTGCTGGTTATCACCAAATTCGTCTGCAGTCAGGCGAGGAGTTCAAGACCGCTTTCCAAACCCATTCAGGCCAGTACGAGTTCAGAGTCATGGCGTTTGGTCTTACAGGAGCACCAGCAACATTTCTCAAAGCCATGAACACAACATTTCGGCCTTTATTGCGAAAGTGTGTTTTGGTCTTTTTCGACGACATCCTCATTTTCAGTCGAACATATGAAGAGCATCTGGAGCATATTAGGCTGGTGTTGCAGTTGTTTCAAAGGGATTGTTGGCAAGTAAAGATGTATAAATGTGTATTTGCTCAGCGCCAACTCCGCTATCTTGGGCATGTGATCTCTGAGGCCGGCGTTGCCACCGATCCGGTGAAAATTTAGGCTGTTGTACAGTGGCCGTCCCCACAATCAGCTAAGGAGCTTCGGAGCTTTCTTGGGTTAGCCGGGTATTACAGGCGTTTTGTCAAAAACTTTGGCAGTATCTCCCGGTCACTGAATGAGTTGCTTCGCAAGGGTGCTATATTTGTCTGGACTGATGTTCAGGAGCTGGTGTTTCAGACCTTGAAGCAGGCCCTCACTACAGCCCCGGTGCTCGCTCTCCCCGATTTCAGCAAACCGTTTTCGGTGGAGGCAGATGCTAGCGGTACAAGCATTGGAGCCGTGTTGACACAGGGCGGCCATCCATTGGCATTTCTCAGCATGGCTCTGGGTCCGCGCTCCGTGGGACTCTCTACTTATGAAAAAGAATATATGGCAATTTTGTTGGCCCTCGAGCAGTGGCACAGCTATCTACAACATGCTGAATCCCAAATCATCACGGATCACCGCAGCCTGGTGCAGCTCACTGAGCAAAGACTTCACACCCCATGGCAACAGAAGGTGTTTGCCAAACTGGTTGGCCTCCAGTACAAAATTGTTTATCGTAAGGGTTCAGATAATGGAGCAGCTGATGCTTTGTCTCGTTGCCCAAGTGCTCAACTTGCAGCTATTTCTGTCTGTCAGCCGCAATGGTTAGATGAAGTGCTGGCTTCCTATGCTCAAGACACGCATTAACATGAATTGCTCACCAAGCTCTCCACCCAATCGGCTGCAGTGCCTCATTTCACTCTGCGTGATGGTCTGCTGCGTTACAAGAACCGCGTCTAGGTCGGGCAGGATACCGCTTTACATCAGAAGATCATCACTGCAGTCCATGCCTCACCTATTGGTGACCATTCTAGGATCGCCGTCACTTACCGGCGTTTGAAGCAAATGTTTGCCTGGCACGGCATGAAAACAGCGGTACAGTCATTTGTTTCTGCCTGTGTTGTGTGCCAGCAGGCGAAGCCCGATCGATCCAAGTTGCCTGGTCTCCTGCAGCCGTTGCTTGTACCTGATCGTGCTTGGACAGTGGTCTCCATGGATTTTACTGAGGGTTTACCGATTTCTGGTGGGTTCAATTCATCTTGGTGGTGGTCGACCTTTTCTCAAAGTACTCCCACTTCCTACCACTCAGGCATCCCTTCAGTGCTGCATCAGTTGCCCAAGTATTCATGTCTCATGTCTATAAGCTTCATGGTCTACCACAAGCTATTGTCTCGGATCGAGATAAAATTTTCACTAGTCACTTTTGGCGAGAGCTTTTCAAGTTGGCTGGGGTTGAAGCGGAGTTCTAGTATAATACCAACTGGCATTCAACATTGGGGCGGTCTCCTTTTGAAGTACTCTATGGATATCCTCCTTGTCAGTGTGGCATCACCACTGGTCCTGATACTCCAGTCACTGACTTGGCTTCATGGTTGTCTGATAGAGCTCTCATGACATATGTCATTCGCCAGCATCTCAATCGCACAAAGCAGCGCATGAAGCGCCAAGCAGATGAGCACCGATCCGAACGCCAGTTTCAAGTGGGTGACTTGGTTTTCGTCAAAATTCAGCCATACATTCAGTCATCTTTGGCACAACGCACTAATCAGAAGCTCTCTTTCAAGTTCTTCAGGCCCTATCATGTTCTGGCTCGTGTGGGAACTGTCGTTTATCGGTTGGAGCTCCCGGCTTCTTCATCTGTCCATCCGATTTTCCATGTTGCGCAGTTGAAGAAATCGGTGGGTGCTCACCACTCGGTTACAGCTCATCCTCCATCTGAAGCTGTAGTCTGGAGCGTGCCAGAAAAGATTCTGCAGACCCAAACCATCTTCAAGGGT